GGTGGTCTGGTACTCCTATCTCTTTAAGGACTTGCCACAGTTAGTTGTGATTCACACAATCAAAGGCTTTAGCGTAGTCAATGAAGCAGAAACAGATGTTTTTCTGGTACTCCCTTGCTTTCTCCATAATCCAACGAATGTTGGCAATTTGATCTCTAGTTCCTCTACCTCTTCAAAACCCAGCTTGTACTTCTGGTAGTTCTCTATCCACATACTGTTGAAGCCTAGCTTGTAGGATCTTGAGCACGACCTTGCTAGCGTTTCTATAATTGGTATAATAGCGCAAATGATTGTAACCTAAAAATGTAATCCCTAGTATAGGTTAGAACATTGAGATAGCAGCTACAGATGTTGGTTTTAAGATACAAAAATGTGAGCTCATAGAAAATAATGATACGTGATATTGTATTAGATAGAGAATATCTAAGAGGCAATTATTGGAAAATTAAGCATTTGATACCGCCGTTTGTGTTATATGTGTGTATGTTTGGTTTATCTGTTATGAAAAAAAACAAATAAAATTCTACCCTTTGAGGGCAATTTTTTATTTATTATTTTTTATAAAAAAAGGAAAACCGGCCAAGGATAACATTCCATCAAAACCATGGTTTGACCAAAATTGTATCCAAGCAAAAAAGGCTTTAATTCATGCCTACAAGGAAGCGCAGAGAACTAGAAATGAGACTACACAGGAAGCATATCATCTACTTTCAGTATAAAAAAAGAGTACAAATCATTGGCCTCCTGCTGTAAGAAACAATACACTAGAAAATTGTGGGTGGATCTAACTGCTGCAGCTAAGGCCAAAGATACAACCCGATTTTGGAAACTGATAAACAACAGTAACTCCAAAGCTACTTCCCCTCTGTTCTCATGCATTGCCCCTGATAGATGGACTTCCTTCTTTCAAAAAAATGTATGAAGATTTAACAACAAATAATTTGGAAACCTGGACTCCCATCTCCACCAATGAGGTAAAAGCCCATATTTCTAAATTAAAGAATTCCAGAGCTCCAGGTCCCGACGGTATCCCTTCAGAACTACTTAAAGCAAATATAGACTGGTGGGCTACCTTTTTAGCCCACCTATTCACATACATTGATAGAACTGGTAATATCCCAAGGGATTGGGGTATGGCCATAGTAGTTCCCCTCTGCATCAGTGGTTGGGGCTTAGACTTGGATTACTAAGATGTTGAATGGTTTGTCTTGGATTCGGACCAAGATCATTCTATCATTTTTGAGATTGTATCCCATTACTGCCTTTTCCACTCTCTTTGTTGCACAGTCGCACAGTCGAGTCCAACTCTTCGCGACCCCATGGACCAGATCACGCCGGGCCTTCCTGTCTTCCGCCGTCCTCTGAAGTTTGCTCAATTCCATGTTTGTTGCATCTATGACACTGTCTAAGCATCTCATCCTTTGCCATCCCCATCTTCTTTGACCTTCAATCTTTCCCAGCATCAGGGTCTTCTCCAGTGAGTGCTTCCTTCTCATTTGGTGGCCAGAGTATTTGAGCTTCCAAACTGAGAGGCTAATCTTCTGGTATCATATCTTTTAGCCTTTTGTTACTGTCCATGGGGTTTTCATGGCAAAGATACTGGAGTGGGTTGCCATTTCCTTCTCCAGTGGATCACATTTTGTCTGAGTTCTCCACTGTGGCCTGTCCATCCTGGGTGGCCCTCCATGGCATAGCCCGCAGCCTCATCAAACCACGCAAGCCCTCTCACCATGTCAAGGCAGCGATCCATGAGACAGAGTATAGTGTAGTGGATACAGTTTCATGCTAGGATCTGGGGAGACCCACGTTCCAGTCACCACTCTGCTGTGGAAACTCACTGGGTGACTTTGGGCCAATCTCAAACTCTCAGCCTAACTTACTTGACAGGGTTGTTGTGAGGATAAAATGGAGGAGAGGAGAATGATGTAGGCTGCTTTGGGTCCCCATTGTGGAGAAACAGAGAATATAAATGAAGTATATAATAAACATATCTGAAGATGAGGGGCAGATAATAGGTAGGATGATTGTTGGGTGGGAAGGAGAAAAGGAAGCAGGGACAGAGGCTAAGA